GTAGCACATGGCGGCCGCGCCGCAAGGCTTCTGCCAAAAATCGGCAACGCGACAAAAAAACGACATGGTCCATTTTAGTCGATATTTACCATAAAAATAACGTATGTGGTTTATTTCTCCCATGGTGTGAGTTTTAAGGTCTCAAAACCTCTAAAAAAGCAGAAATTTGCCGACGAAAACGGACGGGCAAGGCATGGGGAGGGCGCTGTTGCAGCCTGCATGACCCCCAAAAGGTCGAAGGTCATAGGGCACGTCCATTGCGCAATCACCTTAATTCGCCGATTTAGCTAATTTTAGGGCGTTTGAAAATTGATACAATCACATTATCGACTTGTAGACAAGCAAAGGGATAGAAACCAATAAAATGTTGTGCAGATTAATATTTTTTTCTTCAGATTTCTTTTTTTTTTCTTCTTTTTTTTTCAAATTCAAAAAGTATTTTCTTGAATGTGTAGTCCTAAACATGGGACCGATTATTTATGTTAGAGAAGTGAAATTTTGTTTTGATGGTACTTTTGATGGTACTTTGATAATTATAAGGGACTTGTTTACAAGTTGGTGATAACATAAGGATTAGCATTAGGATCAGAAGGTTTTGTCCCAGCTTCTCTACATTTTCCCATAATTGCTTGCCTCAAGTTCCAAGTGGAAAATGTATGACTTAATGTCATATTCTGTTTCACTTGTCGAACTTGAAGGCACCGTTGGCCCCCGGTTAGGGGTCAGAGCGTGGAACCTATGCCCAATTTTTCCCTGTATGTTAACATTTTTTTCTGGCAGTTCAAAACCTGAAGTTGCAGGAAATGGCTTCCATTTGTATTTAGATAAAGAAAAATGCTTCAGCTTCCCCCCTCCAGACCTCCCCCCCCACGACGCTAACGCGTCGTCTCGGGTGCTACGCACCCTCCTCCGGGGTACTCTCAAATCCTGGGGAGAACCCTGTAAGGTCACTGTACAAAGCCTCATTCTCCTTCTTTGTTGCGCTAGTACTCGGGGTCTCGTATATAGGAAAACATAATCTCCTGGCAGATTCGGTGGGGCAAGGCGACTTCTTGTTTAAGTTGTTAGCTGCCTGTATCCAACGTTTGCCCCATGAATCTGCTGCAGAACGCACCGGGCGGGGCTATCCTTTCAAAATTGGTGTCGCTGCCCCTCCTGGTAACCATTAAAACATCATTTGGCAAAACTTTTACTGCACTGGGATTAACGTGCGCAGTCAGCCAGCCGCGCTGCCCCCTCCCCATGCTTCTCACACTCAATAACTTGATAGCTACAAGTAATATAAGGTGTATCACAAGGTATAGCATCATAACGTAACAAACATCAGCTCCCTTCATATAAGGCAAATCTAACATGCTGCAGAAGGGAGAGGCTCCGACAGCCAGACAAGAACACCCACAGTATGCCGGGTAGAAACCAGGAGGTAGTAAACTCCTGCCAAAAACTTCGCACCTACTTACAAATCGGCCGAGATATGTCCGAGTGATTAGATTTGAAAGGCTTGAAGCCTTCCGTTCTACGTTGGATACAACAAGCTGCTAGGGGGCTTTAACTCGCGTTACTTCTTTCCAAGCACAAGAGCTATGTACCATCTAAAATTCATGACCCTAGCATGTTCAGATCGCGAGATATCAAGATCAGAAGTTCCGCTGCAGTACCAAAGGAAGCCACTAGGGGGCCCAAAATCTCATCATTTCTAGATTTAGTCACACCATACCAACCCACCAAGTATGAAACCAATCTATCCAGTTGTTCTTGAGTTATGTTGTTGACAAAATTTAATTCCTTAGGGAATGCATTCGTGGAATTTTTAGGATATATTCAACTCAATCGCAGTACTATACCAACGGCTCCGCACCTGAGGCGTCTCCAAAAATGTCCCACCATGATGTGCGTTGATTGACAGTCCAATACTATATTTTTCCTGTGAATTATAACAAACAGAACGTCTGAGACCCCATTTTTACCAGGGTTTACACAATTACAGATCCGGGTTGGCAGATCCTCCTTTGTGTTTATCGTCCTGGGATTGACAAATTTGGCTCAACAGAATCCTGTCCAAAATCAGATCAGGATCAACCTGTGTAGTTAAACTAGAAACTGATTAGTAAAGTCTTACTACTAGTATTAAAGTCAGCGGTTAACGGGTGACTATTCAGCAGAACCCTTTTCCTTCTTTCTTCAAGTCAAGCTTCACTTAAGCTATTTACATATAAAAAATCATGACAATGATCCATCAACATGGTTGATGAGTTGTCAAACATTTGTAAACAAGCACCCCTGCAGTTCCAGAACAAGCTGCTAGGATGCCCAAACTTACAACACTTACTCCCAGCCACAAGAGCTTTCCACTACTCAAAAATCAACAACCTGACACTTCTGGAAAATTTAACCTCAAACTTTGAAGCCATGCTGCAGTACCTTAGGTACTTACTAGGAGTCCCCTTATCGAACTTGACCTTCATTTTTGCAGCCCCTACCCATGTGGTACACAAACAAAAACACACAAAAAACACGACCCTCTGCAGTAATGTAGGAAGATGTCAGGATAACCATTTTTGAACTTGAACTTTGTTTCCACAACAGCTACTCGCGTATACCAAAGGTCATTAAGATCCATTCACAGCTTCTTGAGTCATGCTGAACACATACAATCAACGTATGCAGAAATGCAGGGAAAGCTTGTTGCTGTTCCGTTGGAAAAAGCCAGATGGACCATTTTTTGAACATAACCTACATTTCCAGGATATGTACCCACATACCTACCTACCTACCTAGTCCCATGACTGACACTGGTCGTCGGGGGGACAAGGCAGACTTTGCAGCAGGAATGTAGCCAGGTCCTCCTGTCTTGGGCTGCTGTCAGGAGTATGTACCCACATACCAAGTATCAAAAAGATTCATGTATAACTTCTCAAGTTATGACATTGAAGGGGGCCTGCAAGCCCTTTCCGTAGAGCGTAATCGACCATTTTAATTCCACGTAGAGCGTAGACGGACCGCTCTAATTCAACATAGAGCGTAATTGGCGCATTTTGCATAGAGCGCATTCGCCATTTTAATTCTACAAAATGCGATGTGGCCTCTTGGAATTTATCGTAAAGCGTAATCGACAAGTTTCCGAATTCAGCGTAGAGCCGTTGTGGGACCCCCCTTGCAGGCCCCCATCGAACGACATACAGACCCACACCACAGCTGCTCCACCAGACCCAAACAGAAAACATACCCTTCTGACAAAGGCTACTATTAGTATTAATTACATTGTTAGGTTTTGAAATTATGGCTGCCTTTATTTAGGAGCTAAGTAAGAGTATCTCACAAAGGTAACACATTATGGAGAGAGTTAATTTCTTTATAATGATTCATCATTTTCCACATTGTTCTTTCAGAAAGGGAGTTAGTTACTTTCACAGTAGCAACTGACGAAACTGATGGCTTCAAGAGGTTCATGAGATCAGCAGACAGGTATAACATTCCAGTACAGGTAAGAAGAAGGTTCTATATGTGTATAGTCTGGCTAAGCCTACAGCTACAGTACAGCTCGCGTTATAGTTTCCAACTCTGACAACCGCGAACGCGGCATTGACGCGATAAGACCGCGTTCCGCATGCGTTAATCAGGGGTGTGAAACGCGGCAGATCGCGTTAGGGTTTCAACTATAACGCGTTCACCAAGCGTCAGGGTTTCAACTATAACGCGTTTTCATGGGTATTCATATGCACGGGGCGGTAAGATAAAAGAGAAGTAGGAGGGGTACTGATTAACCCCACGCAGGGCAGGAAATGCGTGGACTCAAGACAACGTCAAAATTTTACGATCTTCTGTGGCAAGATCTGCACGGCTACTGTGGCAATACCGCGATGTGTGGTATCAAGGGTACCCGTATCTGGAGTCGTTTGTACAAAGTATAGCAGGTTAAGGCCTGCGAAAAAATAACGTTTCGTGTCGTTTGATAGTACCATAAATTCCAGAATAAAGCACTCATGAGTCATGTTTCGAAACTTTTCAAAATCTCCAAAGTCGGGGTGCGTACTTAATTTGAGGGTTTCCCTGAAATCCGCCGACGCCGCAGGAATATAGCGAACACCGGCAAGTGGAGCTTGGAACGGCATCGACTCGTTCATAGCATGTTTAGATAAGAATGTTGAAGAGTGGAAATAAAGTTTATCTTCAGTAAATGAGCATCTTTCTGTTGGGTATCATCGATATTGACACCAAGTTCGTTAAAATAAAGTCAAGTGACACATGGTAAGAAATGTAGGTCACTCACGTCCGGAGCGCAAGATGGTTCGCCAGCCAGCCGGCGCCGATGTCAGAAGAAACCGGCAGAAAACAACTCATCGAACCCGTAAGTATCCGTAAGTATATACACAATTGTAAGAGGGTTTATGAGTGGTAAGATTTGAAATGCATGCCGTGAACGTTCTTGATCGTCGTAACGTGACACAAATAAACGTAAGTTGACATTACCACCGTTACATGACATTCAGGTCAGTTTTAATGCACTTACGGACTCGGACGAGTTGAACAAAGAAATCTTCAACAAAGACGACATCCATGCTGTTACAAATGTTCGGTTGACAGAACTTGTTTCATTACGTACCACAAATGTCTTAAAATCTTGATAAATGCCACGTTGTAGCGGTACTATACCAGTCTGTCCTACGTGATCCTACGTGAAACTTGCTGGGTAGATTGTAACGTTACACGGCATGGGATGTTGCAATGATTGGGGCGGAGTTTAAAATCTACTCTTGTGAAACCTCCTGCCGCCCGGCCAGTGGGCGGGGTCCGGTCTCTGCCTTGGTAGGCGTGACGCCACTCTGTCTAGCTCGCTGAGCACGTGCTGGCCACGCATCGTGGGAACCAGCGGCGGGAAGCTTTCTAGATCTTTCCATGCTGGGGATTTTATAAGCATTACTTTGTACGAGATATTTTGAAACCTTTCCACTCTCTTACGTTCAGAATCGCAAGTGGGGGTACAGATGCCTTTTGTTGTTGCTTTGGTTTCGGTGTCAAATTTTAAATACTTCCCCGCCTCAATGATTGTTTCCAATCAGCTTAGAACTGTCGGCGCCTTTCGTAAAGAACAACAAAGCTACGTACTGCGTTAACATTTAAATGCCCCCCACACCGATAAAACCAACATTGTAATATTGTCTTCTTCTTTTTTTTTCAAATATCTTTTACCATTGCTGACTTGATCACCGATACTCTCCAAAGCTGTACGTTTCGCTGCACTTGCCTTACCTTTCGTTGCGGTGGTAATGTGTTGCGAGCCGGCTGTGGCCCGCGGCGAACGTAGAACAGCCGAAGATGAAAAGTTTCCCGCTACAATACTAGTATAAACGAGTTACCAACAATCGATTAGCACACGACCGTTTTTTTCTTGATTACTTCAATGAACAATACGGTAATCAACTACAAATTTTATTATCGAATAAGCTGATTGTTTTGTGTGCCAGTATATGTTTTGTCAGTATTACTTATTAACAGAATTAAATGTACATGTATGCAAAATACACCAGCTCTCCATAGTAATCAGAGAAAGAACTAATTATTATTTTTTTTAATACAGGTGATGTCGACCTTTAGAAGAGAAGGTTTGGATGGGAACAGGACAGCTTTACAAAACATTATCGTTCCGACGTACATGTACAAAGACTTTCAAGATTTGCTCTTTGAAGTACGGATTGTATCGCATGGTGAGACGTAAAACAGGCGGTGCCTTCAGTAATACGATCCTCCCGATCGCCGAATGTAACAAATTTATAAACATATCCTTTCGCTATTGTTTGCTTGAAATGACTTTAATAAGTCCTATGACTCCTAGTTCTTGGTGGAAGGTTCTCCTTACCTGCGTTTCTGAGTACTATCTTCCGGCCGATTAGCCCAACTTACCTGCTACTAGTGGATCGCCGTTTTTTCCAGTCCGGTGTTTCCCAGTCAGCTTGTCTTGTATAAAAAAAATTATGCCACATTCTACATCATTTTATCACATCAAGCATACAGTAGGAGGTTAATAGGAATATCTCTTTATTCGAACAGGGGCGTTTTTGGAACGCCTTTGATTTGAAGTATCACACCCCCACTTGTTAATGTGAGGGTGTAGCATGACGGAGAGAAAAAATTACGAGAAAAAAGTGACTCCAACAGAAACATATGCTATAACGTTAATACTGTTATCAATTAGCTACGGATAATTCTTCTGTATTCGGATGGTAAGTATTCGGACGGTAAGTATCAGGCTGCTACAGAGAGCTCGAGGCTGATATCATCGCCGGGCGGCCCGGCTTGGCGGCGACTTGCGACTGATGGACCGCCGGACGACTCTCCCCCTGCGGATCGGCATGCCGCATGGTCAGATTTCGTAGTCGTTGATTGCTACTTTGAAAAAGTGATACCATACAGTTATTCAGAATAATAAAGCTATAACACATGTTTTTATCCGATGTATAACGGAATGTTGGAACGCAAAGATCGTAGATTCGGTGTGAAAAATACCCCTGGAAACCGACACTTTTTTTAACGTCATCCGCTAGGGAAGGCTGCGCGTACTATGCGAGTTGGGGAGGGGGGCGGCTTTGCCGACAATGTTTTCGTTCGGATGAAAACCTATAAAACGTTAACATTTTGGGCTAGCGTCCGTTTAGGTGGAAATTAGGGAGAATTTTGGCGGCTTCTTGAAGAGTTTTGTGTGTCAAGACTCCGCGTCCGCTGCATTATAAACGCTGCGGGCCGTGCCCCGATGTGCGTCGGCCTGGCGGCTAGTCGGCACTTTGTGAGATACATTCTCTTACGGCTGTTGACTTTTGAAACGTTATAAACGCACTAAATTTTGTGTTCAAAATTGTACATGTTAGTTGTAGTTGTAGGCTATCTCTGTACCGACATGAGAGAGGTGCCAACAATGCTACACGACGCCGTTCAAGGTGACAA